TTTTACCATGGGCATGATGGCTTGGCATATCACTTCAGAGTCCAAGTTGGGATGATCTTGGTTGACCCCTCCAGCACAACATGTGTGAGGACCGTTGTATACTGTTAGTTCCCATATGTTGTTTTTCCTCTTCATTTTCGATACGCGAACCATACAATTGCATCCGTTTTCGCGTCAGGCACAGTAGCATACATATTTTTCGGTCGTCGATCGGTTGACTCTGGACTGAACAGAATTAAGGATATTGTAATTTTTTATAGCCATCATCGCTTCTTCTTTGCTTGAAAATTCCATGCCTAAAGATAACTCACCATTATTTATTGATGAGTAATATTAATAGTCACCGAGATGAGACATATCCGCAAATTCTGGCCCGTACATTGCACCATAATCAGCTTCATACATCTGTGCAGGAGGGTCAGTTTGTGCCACATTTCCTGGAACTTCATCATCATCGGAGTTGAATTGCGGTGATTTTGGGTGAATGAATAGTCCAGTCTCAGCACCATCCGCACCAGGCTCACGAAGCGGTTCTTCTGGTGGAGATGATGGTTCCTCTATGCTCTCCATATTTAGGTCGAAAAACCTACTACTTGCACGCCTTCCCCTTGAACTGGAATGCATATCGACATTGAGATCGAAAAAGCTCGCAGTCGAATGCCTCCCCTGGAGCTTGAAGCCATCGTGTCAAATGGAAACTGCACATATGGTTGCGTCGATGGCATCTTCATATGGTCAAAGAAATTTACAGATGAATGCATTCCCCTTGAACTGGACGCGGTGTTGCTATACGGATTATTCGTGGACCCACATCGGTACATATCGTAAGGAGTTGCGGATGAATGTCTCCCCATTATGGCATTAAAATCATTACACATTACTGTAGTCAGGCTGTCAACTTGATCAACTTGTTCAGCCAGCCCATAGTGTGAGCTTAAAGATTGACCCCGAACAGCACGCACTTGAACAAAATATGCATACATCTCAATAGCGGCGTCTGAATAATTACTTTGAGCTTTAACCATCATTTGAACATCATCATTGTTCGAAAGTTCGAACGCTGTATAAGTTAATGGCAACAATGATGTTGGAAATCTGTACTGCAACGACGACATTCTTTTGTTACTTCCAACATGAATCTTCCTCGAAATCTTCGTTATCAGCTCCTCAAGAGTTATGTTTCTCTTGAATGATATTTTAACATGCTCATTTGATACGAAAACAACGTCGGTTTCATCTTCTCGAATTTCACCATCATAATAAACAATAACTGAAAGTCGCGCCATTCTTTGAGTTTAAAAGTACGGAGAAACCTAAATTAAAATCTTCACCCTCGCCCCCACCCTAAATGACATCATTCACATTGGATGAGGAGAACCCTAGATTTCACTTCCTTCCTGCCACTATCAATGAGCCATCGATGAGGTCATCGATGAGGCATTAGTGATGTCGTTGGTGAGCCACGGTCTGTCAGTGGGAGAGTGAATCTGACAAGGGTGAGGGTAAGTGTAACACCCTCAACCCGTATCCGACCCGGATACAAGTCTGAGGTATCACATTGACTTTTCAAACTTTAAACTTTTAACGAAAACCAATGAAATTAAAACTTTTATTAAAATAACATTGTCATTGTACATGAGTTAACCAAAACAAGACAAAACTAATCAGAGCATTTGTAATTAACACTTTTCTTACATGCCAACACACTACATACAAAAAAATACATACTGTAACTTTACTTCTGATCTGATCGCTGAGTAGAGATATCTTGATCTGTAAATTCCTATTCTTGATTCTCATGCTCTTCGAAACCTACGTGTAAAAACACTTACACGCTAAGTCATAGACTTAATGAGGCATAATTACATAATAAAGAATTACTAAAAATATAAACATGTCGTCTACTATCCAAACGCAATTATACTATCATACCATCATTTATTATACCACATATGAGCCAATATAAATCATAATAATACCATATTAAGATACAATTATATACATCCTCGTTATGTCTTATTTAAGCCCATATACACTATTGAGAACCCAAGGTATACGAGTATTATGAGGTTGTGCACACGTATGCTGTCACCACAGCTCAATGAATGTTCCGAAGGACCTATCCAGAGGTCATAAAGATCCTCGGTAACTGTCCATAGGTCCCGAAGAACCTAGGTAAACTATCCATATGTTCCTTAGAACATAGGTATATTGTCCATATGTCTCGAAAGACATAGGTAGTTCTTTGACTCTTGGCATGCCAACTATACCTACAGTTCTCATAACTCATATCATGTGCATTGTCTTTTACCTTATTACATATTCACACATCATATCACATTTTTCTTTTTTTATAGCTCTTTATCACATGTTCATATGATCATCTTATTACCTATACATTTTCATATAACCATTACATACATACATGTCATCATTTATGTTTTTATCATACTCCTATAGTATTATCCTTCATCTCTTTTATCTCTTGTTCATTTTTCAACCAATAACTTATATAAATGTATATATATCACGTATACTAGTTCCTAGGTCCCATCACACTAGCATATTTTCATATATTTGTAATCACGTAGTTTATTTTTCATATAATTCATGTTACCCCTCATATGATTTCATATTCATATGTTATATATTTCATATTCTTTCTTATGTCCTTTCCATACTTCTTATTTCATATTCTTATGAAATCATATTGATCATTTTAACTATTTCACATATTTAACACATTTATCTACCTATTTACACAACTCATATAATATATATATATTGTAACATGTCAATACATATGCTCATTCATACATATAAACCATAACAAACACATCACACACACTTCATATACCTAATATAGATATCTCGTAACTCATTCAATCCCATATGACACATACATTCATATATAAGCTCTAATCTGGAAAATAGACTTACCACAATCTGCATAGAATATCCCATTATGCATATGGTATGAATTCATATCATATTTAATAATATTGAATGAATCATGTATCAAGATATTAAATCTAGACTTATCGCAAGTCTAGAACTGAATATACTAACATAATCATGTTATACATATGCCCTCACCTTAGCCTTGTTTGAATTGAATGAATTCTAACCCTTCGATTACTTTGAAGAAAAGTCACGTTTAATAACTACATAATAATACATTGATACATATCAGTATCCAATTAATATACTCTAATCTATCATTTCTTAGACCAAAAGAAAGGTTTATTTCTATTTCTCTTGAAGTGCATCGATGCATTCAACAGTGCATCGATGCATTCTTTAGCATGTGCATCGATGCAGTACCCGTGCATCGATGCACAAATCACCTTCGATGTTTTCATTTTAAGGGGATGCATCGATGCACCAATTGTATTCGATGTTTCCATTTTAATAGGTGCATCGATTCACTTCCTGTGCATCGATACACACTGAACAATTTCTAGAGATTTACCCTTGATGCATCGGTGCACCTTGAATGTGCATCGATGCACATAGCTCAGAATTCATTTTAAATCCCGAAAATCTACTCAAAACAACTCAAATGCTTCATATTTCATCCCCTTTCATGTTCTTAACTCTTATACACTTATTTAAACTAATTAATACCCATTCAATATCTTTTACACTTCAAAATCCATTCCTCCACATAGAATATAAGAATTTCACTCAAATTCCCATATGATATAATTCTGATTCTAACCCTTCATATCCCTTAATCAAGTTAGGGACAAGTTAAATTCAACTTCCAATTCTCAATATAAACTTTATTTCGATATTTCATTCAAAAACTCCAAATCTTTAAATCCTCATAAACTCTTCATCTTGTTGTTTTAAAGCAAATTAATCTTTCCTTAATCTTACTTAGCATCTAATAATCAAAACTAAACTTAAATTTCAGCACATAATCAGCTCAAGAGAAAAACTCACCTTTGCTTGGCTTCACACGTGAAGAAGAAGAAGAAAAAAAAAAGAGAACTCTGGAAACCTCTAAACTTTGTTTCCTTCCTTCCACGTGTATCTATATATACCATATATTATTATTATATTTTTCTTTTCTTTGCAAATGACCATACTATCCTTTCATTCCTCATTCTTTTCAATTTGATCTTACACCTCATTTCTCATATAAGTCTTTAAACCACTCAATTATTCTAATTTAAATCACCAAATTTCGAAACCTTACAATTTAGTCACTAACCTGGTATTGAGGATGTTACAGTGAATGGGATTCTAATTTGGGTTTTAGGGCTTGGAATATAATTTGGGAATTTAGGGTTTGAATTTAAAATTTAAGGGTATAATTTACACTTTTTAAACTTTTTTTATTTTAATCATATTTGATATTAAAATATTAATAAAATATGACACATCATATTAAAATAATAAAATAATCTATGTCATTGTTGAGTGACTAAAAAAATTCAATCTATAAAGTTTAGTGAGTAAATTGAAAAAATTGAAAGTACAGAGAGTAAAATAGGAAAGAGAGTAAAGTTTAGTGATGAATGGTGTAGTTTACCCATAAAAGAAAGGGTAAAGTACACAAATGCTCCCTTGATTATAGGATAAAAATTACAAAATTATCCTCCGACTATAGGAGTTGCTTTGTTGAATCTCTCGACTATTAAAAGTTACAAAATGGTCACCGAACTATTCATTATATTTCAAACACGTCCTTTTCCATTAAAATATTAATGACAGTTTGAGTTGGACGTTAACCTGTTGACTAAGATATAATAGAATTTGATCTTACAATCTCAAAAGACTATCATAACTCAGTCAATATATTAATGTCTAACTTAGATGATCGTTAATTTTTTTAATAGTCAAAGGACTCAACAAAGAAGTATCATATAGTTAGGGGACCATTTGTGTATTTTATCCTAAAAGAAAATGAAATGTTAGGAAAAAGAAAAAAGAAAGAAAGAAATGTAAAGATAATCATTTAATGCACTAAGCTCAATCTTCATTGTCTCATTACTTCGATAATGCATTGAAGAAGAAAACTATACATACATGTATATATATTCATAATGTATGCCCCCTCCATTTAAACTAAAAGAATCCCAAGAAACTAGAGAGCTCCATATCCATGGCTGTAATAAACAATGAAAAAAAGATATAATATCAATCTGGTATACCCCTTCTTAAAATTGAAAAAGATAACACATTGAAAATGAGGTTGGTTTTAATTCTTAGCTTCCATGGTGATTTTCAGACTCTGAGCAAATAGATACTAAGTTCGGGAGCTCCATTGCTATCAGGATTCATCATATAGAAAGCTTCAGAATCTCTTGACCCAATAATTCTCTCGAACTTAGCCCTCATATACATAAGTTCACCGTCACCAGATCCGGCTTCTGGTTCAGTCACCGGTAAAACCCCAGCTCCCATGGAGATTGGTTCCACGGCTTTCAAAACGTTCCATTCTTTAGCCCCACAGTCCCTTCTCGTTGCGAACCCACATTTCTTTCCATTACAATAAGTTCTCCAAACCGGCTCTTGGAGTAATCTCAAATCTTTTTTCTCACCTTCATCTTCTTTGCGTTCTTTCTTATCGCATTCCAAAGCAATCCGTACCAACCCGGACGCCATTTCTCGAACCAGACCACTAATGGGGGTGGCGAGTTCAACGAGGAAAGCTGGTAGGGAATTGGGTTGTTTCTGAAAAGCAAAGTGAACATGGCCACGTCTGGAACCAAAAAGGGTGCCGACAACTCGAGGTCCAAGACCACCACCAAAGGGCGGGTTCGAACGGTTCTTCCCAAAAGCCGTGAGAAGAGCTCGAATCCTGGCAATGGCGACTGCTTGAAGCTTCTTCCTCCTGGGTGTGGGAACACCAACATGGGGTTTAGGTTGAAGATATTCTGCTTGCTTATCGGCTTGTTGATCATTTGGGTTTGAAGATGGGTGCTTGAGTGTTGAACCGTGTTCAACATCATCATCGTCTTCGGTTCCAACTTTGTTGGTCCAGTGGAAGTGCATTTTGTAGGTGTCTCGAGAGGTTTTCGCCATTAATCGAGAGTTGAGAGCTTTAAAAATGGTGTGAAAGAAACAAGAGCAGTGAGGGGGAGAGAGAGAGAGAGAGTGATCTATGGTTTCTTAGCAGCTGTGGGGGGATCCATTGCCTTAATGCAAGAGAATCCTGAGTTCTGACAAAAGAAACATACACTGTCCCGCCAGCAGAAGAGTTCATAGAATTCGATATAAATATGAATAAAATCTTAAGATAAATATAATTACAAAATTAATAATTAATCAAAAAAGGTTTAAATTTTAAGATGATCAATTATGGAATCTCACTTTCACTTGCATCCGGCTCTATGTGTTTCACTTCACTTTTTATGTGCTTAACTGATGGACTAATCTTTTGACTTGAATCGAAAAGCAAGAAAGGGGTACCATTGCCATCGGCATGGGCATGCCAGCCCAAGACATCCAACGCAACCTTCCCTTTTTGTTCCACTACACCTACTTTAGCATACTCTTGTTCATATTTAAGACCTAAATATGATATTATTGAATGGATTCAATGATTAAAATGAGTATTACTTTTCTTTGAAGTTATGAGTTTGAGCAACTGCATCGATACGTATATGTTATCGATAATTAAAAATAATTACTAATATGTACTATTTTATAACCACTATTCAAATAAAAGCAAATCTAAACCTTATTAATCTCCTCTTCTTTTTCTTCATTGACTGGTTTTTACTTGACTTCAATAGATGATTTCTTTGGTAAAAAAATACCAAAATTTTCATTTTCTTTTTCTTTTTCTGTCCTTTAGATCAGATGTGTCGAAATTCTTTTAATCTCCGGAATTAAAAGTTATTTTTTTTATCGGTCACAATCCATCCTTGGACCAGTTTAAAATTTAACTATATTAGTCATTTAGTCAAATGAAGCATTTTCATCGTTGCATGTTATAAGAGATCGTTCCGTTAATTGAAAACTCTTCAAAATTGAGATGAGTAATTTTTCTTTTTCTCTTCTTTTGTTCTCTACTTCTCCTCTTGCCTCTATTATTGTTTATTATCTATTGTTATTGATGATCGATTGTGGATAGTAATTAAAAGGACGTCAACAAAAGGAAGAGTGGTGATTACCAATTTAAAAGAATAAACTTAAATTTATTTTGCATGTCACATTAATTTTTTTAAGTGATAGCTAACAATAGGGATGGCAAGCGGGTACAATTTCGTGGATTCCGCACCGCACCCGCTCCAATTGGGGCGGGGATGGGTATAATTTTAGTGGGTAGTGGGCGGGTGTGGATTTAGAAAGTGGTACCCGTCGCGGGTAGTGGGCGGGTAATGGGTTTGAGACCTTACCCGCCCCGCATCCGCATCCGCACCGCATCCATTCGCACCGCATCCACCCACACCGCATCCGCCCGCCCAACTAAATATCCATTAAATTTTGGACCATTATGAATTTAGGTGTAATTTTAAGAGACTAATTTATAAATCCTAATATTATATAAGATATAACTTGTAATTTAACCAAATATTAGGGATAAGTTTATGAATGATTTTTTTTCTTTCAAACCTCTTGGCTTCACTCTCCAGCTTATTCAGGTATGTTTCTTCCCTTTTTACTTGAAATTTAATTTTTGTAAGAGTCAATTCCGTAGTCATTTCGTTTTAAACTCCTCTGCATTTCGTTTTAAGAGTTTAATTTTTATTTGCTCGTATTGATTTTTAATTATTTTTTAGATTCATCTTAATGTTTGTTTTAAGCTTAATTTCTTAATGTTCTACAAATCATTATCTTGTGACTGAGCACCCACGTTTTTTGCTAACAGAGTCAGATCGTTGCTTCTCAAATATCTATTTTTAACACCACTGAATAGAATTAAGTGTTTCACTTGTGCTTCTCAAACCTCCATTTTTAACGCCATTGAAACTGACTTTTTCAAATTCAAATTTCAACCGAGTATTTTGCAATATTGGTGTTTTATTATGGTGTTTTATGAGAATGATGATTGTAATACTAGAGTATCAGATGTCACAAGTATTGCTTGAAATTTTAGAATGTTGTGCCAAAGAACAAAAACATTATGTGTTTGTCATTTATGTTTCTAGACTTTAATTATGACTTTTATTATAATGTTTTATGTACTTTAAGATTTATATTAACACTTAACTCAGATAATCATTGGTTTATTTTATTATGTTTCTTAATAGATGGGTTTGTTTTATGTTTGTTGCTTATGTATAACTTAAGTTTGTTGTCAGGCGGGTCTAGCCGGGTACGTCTTCAGTGGGTAGTGGGTGTGGGGATGGATTTGAGAATGTACCCGCGTGGGTGTGTGTAGATTTGAAAATTTTTACCCATCATGGGTGGTGGGCGGGTGGTGGATTGAAAAATATTAGGTGGTATGGGGATAGGGGAGGGGGTATCCGCACCCGACCCGCCCGTTTGCCATCCCTAGCTAACAATAAGAATAGTGATAAAAACAAATTAAAAGATTAATAATTATAATATAAATATTAAAAAGATGATAATCAAAGTGAAAAGGTATTAAATATTTAATGACCATCAAATATAGTTTACCCTTCCATATTTGAATAAGAAGTCCATATATTTAAATTCACCTTGCTTTTATCGATAACTATCTAAAATGTCCAAATGTATGCTATTTTTATAATGGGATAGTTAATCAATATATATATATATATATATATATATTAATTTTATATAAATCTAAAATCATTAGATGAGTGAAATTAGATGATTAAAATTAACAGTAAATTCATTGAAAAAAAATAAAGAGTTAATCTCAACTGTTTATTTTCACTCATCAACGGTTTTAAATCTGTATAAAAATAAAGAGTTAATCTTTTAATATTATTTTTAAACTAATATCTTGTATGTTACATACAATTAAAACGTGTTACGTAAAAAATATTTCTAAAAAAGCAATTTTAATAATAAAAAAATGTCTTCTAATAATGTAATAAGAATCAACCAAAATTTTTAAATGTTAGATTAAAATAAAAGAAAAATATAAAAAATATACAAAATTTATCTATTTTTTTTATAGAAACAACTAATGCTATTAAAAAGAGAAAATATCCATAATTACAACGAAGGTTTACAATTATAATCTTAAACTAAACATCTAATTAGGATATTTTCCTATAACCATTGGCACAAAAACTAATCACTTAAGATCATACAAAGACCATACAAGGAAAATGTTAAAAACTAAAAAAAAATCAAATAAATATATATGAACACATTTAATTGCATCGACAAATAAACCACAAAAAAATAAACTACCTAAAGACCATCGATAAATCGTAAATTATTTTTACGTGGTATTTGAGTAAAAGGGCCTCGTTCCTACTATATCATTTATAATTTCCATCAATTATATAAGATTTATTATTTTTTTATTTTTTATTAATAGATTATCAAATAAAAGAATTGGAGCCCGTTTCTGAATTTATGATATTGGGCGATTAAATAGTAGTAATCTGCAATGATTCTAAAAGCCCATTAAGATTATAATAGCAGAACTTCTTATTTAAAGTTTTAAAACCCTGGAAACTGCTAGACATACAAAAAACCTAATTCGGGTGTCACTGCTATTTCTTCACGTTGCAGTATTTACATTCCCTTTCTCTTTGAAAGTGCTCTGTTTATCTTAAAAAAGATAAAAGAAGAACAGAAAAAAATGGGAAGTGATAGTGAAGCAGAAAGGTCGCAGCGGAAGGAGAAGGAGAGAAAGAAGATGTTAGCTATTGCTCCCATTGCAAAGCCACTCGCTGGCAAAAAGCTCTGCAAGAAAACCCTCAAGCTCGTCCGAAAAGGTATGTTCTTTTAATCAAAATCATTATTGGGGATTTCTATTTTTTAGTGGTGCAATGATTTGGTAAAATAAAGGTTGAAACCTTTAATGTACCGATAAGCTTTTATCTTGGAACTTTCTTTCACTCGAAGCAATAATTTATTCAGTGTAAACCAAAAGATAAGTTCTTTTTGTATTTTAAATATGTAATGACTTACTTGAGAAATAATGGAATAATTTAGAGCTCTTTTGGTTATTTTAGCCATGAACAGAGAAACCCAAAGCTCTAATAGTGTAATTTTTATGATTCATGAGATGGATTTTTGGTGGTGTATGAATATTTAAAGAATGTACTGCTTTTTATTGATATAGCTGCTGAGCACAAGTGTTTGAAGAGAGGAGTAAAGGAAGTGGTTAAAAGCATTCGACGTGGTCATAAAGGGTAAATTCATATATATATATATATATATATTATTTGTTTATTTCAGATTCTATGTATATGCTTTTCATGTTTTAATCTAATTTATGCGTCTAATATTTACTTGGATGGATGTAAGACTAAGTTTCATGGACTGAAAAATGTTGCTGTCTTAGTTATGGTCGGATATGCCAAAATAAGTTTAAGTGAATGATTCTTATGACTTATGTTACCCTGATTTTTCTCTTGTATTAAAGTACTCATGTGCACACCTTTGTCCAACAAATATTTGGACTGAAATGTCGAGTATGATTCTCTGAATATATGATATGCGACGCCCTTTGCCCGGTTCAGGTAAAATAGGTTGAGTTATGACATAACCTGACAACCAGTAATTCATTACCTGTTTTAATGTTAAATGTTCAAATTTATAAATTGCTGAGTCTCGGTTAAAAAATGTACTGATTTCAGCATTTATGCTACATCAAAAGAGGCCGAGCAAGCACTAAGGAAATAGGAATTAGGGTGGGGGAGGGGGAGGGGGAAGCCATAGAAATTTATAAATTTTATTTGATCTATTTACTTCAATTACTTAATTGTTTTAAGCTTGTTTGATAAAGTTTCTAAACAAGAACTTGATTTCATATACTCATTCCATGAATCAAGTAAACTATGTAACCCTGGTTTTTTCTTTGATCGTGCTTGTAATATGTCATCTTCATTTGTTACGTTTTTGTGATATTGTGTTTCCGATTAATTATTCAGCTCGTTGGAGGGAGAATGGAACCTTTCAGCTCATCTGTAGGGATTTTGTTAAATTCTGACTTATTTTATTCAAGTCTCAATTTGCCTCTTATATTAACCAACCATAACATCATTATTCTCATAGTTACCACTGACCACTGATGCTTTGTGAGAATATTTAAGAAATGAAAATATGTTTTGATTGTCATCTGAAAATTTTCTGTAGTGAACACACTCCCACCCACCCACCCACAAACGAATATTGCTTGTTTTGGTAGCAGTCATGCTGCCAATTGATCAATAGAAGAGCATTGTTTTCTTCGATTCAATCTAAATTTTGAAATTAGGAAAATTAGTTTAACTTCAAATGTTAATTGCTGAAACGTTTCGGACTTTTTCTACTTGATGCAGGTTATGTGTTATAGCCGGAAACATATCTCCTATTGATGTAATAACTCATGTTCCAATCCTATGTGAAGAGGCCGATATTCCCTATATTTATGTTCCTTCAAAAGAAGTAAGCTTCCGACCTCCTCCTGTTTTGCCGTATAAATTTAGTGGCATTGCATGTTTCAAGTTGTTATCCTGCTTGACTATCAGAATCCATACACTCTAATTTCCTACTTATTGATTTTCTAACTTAAATGTTATTCATCGCCGCACCTTTATAATAACATGGCCTAATCAGTCCGAGTTTTCCATTACATTCTCTCTGTATTTATTAGAGATGTATTATTATGTTTCGCAAACAAAATGGAATAGCTTTGTTCGATTTTCTCTATGTTCACAAAGACTCTTGGTTGTAGCACATATCGACATCCAATTCGGTCTATAAATCCTGGAATTCCAACCTTAAATATGCTCATATACCAGCTATATATGGTCTTGGTGTACCCTGTTTCATTAGTTTCTTCTGCCGTTTCAGGATCTTGCAACCGCAGGAGCTACCAAGAGACCAACATGCTGTGTTTTGGTGCTAATCAAGCCGCCCAAAGGCGAACTAGACCCTGCGGTACAAGAAAAGATGAAGGCCGAATATAGCCAGATATTCGCAGATATATCAGAGCTTACATCCTCCCTTGTTTAATAAACCAGAAAGGAAAATGTTGCCTTTGTGATATATACATAAGTTTTGTCGATGAGATTCCATCTTCTGCTTCTTCAGGCAATGTGCTTTACTAAAGAACTACAATTAGTACGTGGAATAAATAATAAGGATTCAATTCCACCCGATCAAAGGCTACGTTAAGAGATGTCAAGCTACCAAATCTAGTTTACTGCTTCAAGACGTATATTCTCGATTTATCGTTAGGTCTCCTCATGGTTTTACTGTCTAAAGATGGTCCATTTCTTATTTCTATCTCGATATTCCCTCTTCGATTACACATCTATTTTAGCGTCTTGATTTTAAATGCACTAACCTTAACAAAAAATTTGCCTTCTGCATTCCAACTACCCAATATTTAGGACTAAATATATCATTGCATTGGAACGAATTCTATGAGTAATGTTTTATGAAACTATAGTGATTAACTCATGAGATTTCTCATTAACTATCATTATTTGTTTTGCTTAAGGAGATTCCAAATCAAACTATAGAACACCGATAGGTAAAAAACTGAGCTTAAGAGCAATTATAATGCTGCATTTCGTATTCCATTTTACATAATTAGATTGACTATCTCCTTTCATTTGTACATCCTATATTTTATTTCAATACGAAACGCAACAGTATTAGTAGATAAAACAACTCTTAACATAAAAGCTCCCAAAAGCATATCTTGCTGCAAATCATCCAATGTCAGAAAGCAATATCGGGGGGCATCCATTTTTATCATATATAGAAATAAAGCAACATAATTAATGATGGGATGGCCTTATATAAAAGTTTTTCTAAAATGTGAAGAATTTTAGATTTTACCATCCAAGTTCCCGTCAATAATTCGGCTAGCATCATTTTAGTTGTCCATGGTTATGACAGCTATGCTAGGCATAAAGTTGAGAACCTTCTCTGTGAACAGTCTTTCCAGCTCCAGACGGTCCAGCTACTCCAACTAAAATCAATCCATCATTCTTTTGAGCCAATAATTGGCATGCACAAATTACGATGAAGAAACCTTTCTCAAAGGACAATTTATCTTTGATTGGAACAATCTCATAGCGATCACAGTCCTTTCTTTTAGTCAACTGCACCTGGTCTCGCAGAAGACCAGAACGCCATCGAGGTGATTCAGCAACAGAAGAGGTATCATGAGCCATTAAAATATTATAGTAAACTTCTTCTTATGCAGCTGCATTGAAAGATGCAACTGTCAGGTATACATATTCATAGCAATGAGGATGACATGCGATAAAATCATGGAGTTTTTTGAGGTGCTATATGATTTTTTACACACAAAGGGTGAAAAGTCCAGAACTCCTGAAATTTAAATATAAGGTAAACATATTGCTGAAAATTCAGCAACTTTTAGGAAATATAAAGTGGAAAAAATCTAGGAGGACTAGTGAAATTACGATAAAGACACAAGTTCAGAATATGAACAAACTGAAGCACACATGAACAAAATATAGAATAGTGAAACAAAGGATCTTAACATTGAATACGTGCCCCATATTATACAACAATCAGCAGCTCATGTAATGGTGACATTTAAACCAGAAAGATAAATCGAACTATCATTTATATTTCAAAGTTCCCCCACTCATAATACATAAAAGCCTTTTTTCTGACCAGAAAAATGTTTACCCCAATCACCAGATTTAAGAACACTACGTCCTCTTTCTTTTATGCTCTTACGTGTCCCCTCTATATCTATAACTATATCTACATAACATATTCACATAGCCTACAAACTGAACAAAGATGATTCAAGATTGAAGTAAAATTTAAGCAGTAAATTGTTAAACCGCCAAACACCAAAAGTTAAGCGAAAGTTTCAGGCAATTTAGGGCACTTCTTTAAGCATCATGAATCACACTCATAATACATAAAATTCTTTTTTTCTGACGAGAAAAATGTTTACCCCCTTCACCAGATTTAAGAAAAGTCTTTCTTTTATGCTCTACATCTACATAACATATTCACATAGCCTAAAAACCGAAAAATATGATTCAAGATTGAAGTAAAATTTAAGCAGTAAATTGTTAAACCGCCAAACATCAATAGTTAATCGAAAGTTACAGGCAGTTTAGGGCACTTCTTTAAGCATTCTGAATCATTAATTTGTTCAAGTAACAAGCAATTATCCCAAGAAAAAGCAACTGAAAATATGATTAAAGAAACATGGTGTTCATACCCTTTTTGGTGCTCTTGATTGAACTAACACAACAAACCAATCCAAATCAAAATCTCAAAAAGACAATAAACCATCCATAAAAACTTGAACTTTCAAGCTCCTACGGATTAAAGCCATGAAATTCAACAGCAAACAACAAAATAAACATCAATCCGAAATACCCACAATCCAAAACAACATACATTAGGCAAAATGTTAACTTTAAACCAATTCTCAAGAATCAAAGTTGAAAGATCATACCTTTATCTCGGTCTTTACTGTTAAGAACTTTGCAGTCAAACTTTAAAGAGCAGGAAAAAAGATGGAGTAGGAGTTACTGGGATTTTTATGTAAAAGGCGAAGAAGCGCTTAAGATTCGGGCACAGATATGTTACAGCAGATGAGTTGGTTGGATGTTATTTGCAATAAACTAAAGGAAAGAAGGCTGCTTTGCTTAGCCACCTTCTAGGTTTCAGACTGAAACATGATATGGATTTGGGACAATCTCGGAATAGTGTGGTTTAAACATAATTAGTTCTTATTGGGCACATAATCATAAATAATTAAATTAAAGGAAAATGACATATTCCTAGGGTTATGTATTCACATGGTAAGCTTGACACTCATGTATCGAATCTTAAAGAAAAAAGTATTGGAATATTAAAAATACATGGGATTCGAACAAAATATTATCCATAAAATATATATATATATATATATATATTTAATAATTTAATATGACTATAAAATAATATTTATTTGTATTTGTTTAAACATTAATAATTAATCGTTTAAATTAAATATTTTTAAAGAAAAGAACACTTGCTTTGATTATTGATGTCATTTCATTGGTTCAAATTGTATAAATTGTATGCATTTTTAAATTGATAATACAAACTAATGTGTACATGTACTATGTTTTTGTGAAAATTTTAATTACAATTATATTGAAAATATTAGTTTGGTTTTATTCAATCTAATAATTATATTTTCAATAAAGAATAATTTAAGTATTATTTGATAAATAAAAAACAAATACTAAATTTTTAATGGGTTAAATTTTCTCAAGGTTTCATGAATAAATTCTTAATTAGTTGAAATAACATTAGATTAATCTATTATCCAGTTCAATAAAAAATTATTAATTGATATATTAAGTGTTTCAATAAAGTATAATCTTTTTGGGTCGTTCACATAAAAGTCAATCTTTAAAAATAATTAAATAAAACATTAATATTTCTAAATTTGTTTAAATAAGAGTTTAATCTTTCAAAATAATGAAAGGAAGATGTAATATTTTCAAATATATCCAAATAAAGATGTAATTAAATTTTGGAGATAAATAATTAAAGTGATAAAAAATAGCATTCATATGATAAAAAAATAAGTATTAATCTATATAAAAAATAATATAATATTATCGAATCTATATGCTCATGTATTATAAATAATTAGTGTAGATAAACTAGTAATCTAAAATAAACCATCGAAATCAATAAAATAACTTATGGTTGACATGCAAATGAAAGCTTTAAATGGTGAAATTAATAAAATTAACTAAAAATAAATGTCCATTTAAAGCGGATGGAAGAGGGGAGAGAGAGCTTATTAAGATCCGCCATTTGTACGTTTCTCAATTCTAACACCCCCCCAAAATGAGATCTTTGATGGTGTAAAAAGGGATTTGTTTTATGTTGTCGAGTTTGAAAAGAAAAAGGGAAAACAATGGGGTGTACATTTTCAGGGCTGAATGCGTTATACGACTCCACGAATGTGGGAGGTGACGTTTGGATCAACGAAAACAGGTTCAAGATCGTGAGGCAGTTGGGTGAAGGTGGATTCGCCTATGTTTATCTGGTTAAGGAATCTATCCCCGATTCTTCCTCTGCTTCAGCCGGTGGCTTAGCCAACAAAGTCAAAGACCCTTCTCATCTCTCTGGTTCGTTAAAGATATTATGATCTGGGTTTCTCCATTGGATCTTGCTTTCAACCTTAATTGGTCATTGCTTTGAGTTTCTAATTAGTTTGAATCTTATGTTTAGCTATATGTTTTCGCTAAATTGTGCAATGTTGTTTTCTTCTTTGAATTGGGTTTTTATAATTTTATTGGGTAGAAATTTAACTGAATTCATGTGTCAACTATTGTGACCGAATGTACGGAATCCTTAAGTTCTAGTTTATTTTATTGAAGCTTGATATTATGTGGCTATTTTATAGCAAATTCAAACATCTTGTCAACCGAATGTTGAAACTATCTATGGTACTTCCCATGAATTTTCATGGTAAAATTCAGGGGTATTTTTATTTTGGCTTATTGATCAGACAATGGAATATGGAATATGATAAAATTGGATAGATAATTACAATTTTGGATCAGTTGAATCTTTGATCTCTATTCTGCTGGTAAAACTAAGGCATTTGACTAGAATTTCATATATAAACACGGAGTCAATCATGTTTTCAGTGTTGTGAAGGTTTGTTTTCTTTCCTATCAGATTTCAGATGTTTGCATTTTGCCCCTTATTATCTTCATTGGATTTGCTAACCTTTCTTTGTTTCGGTATTTATCGAGGATGGTGACATTTGCTATGCTATCTTCTGGATTTTAATGTGTTATTTTAGTGTTTGTGTCTCATTAGATCAAAGAGAAAATTAATCTGGTTTTGGAATGAATGTACTTGGGTTGCATTTGTAGATGATGGAACTTATGCAATGAAGAAGGTTCTCGTTCAGAATAATGAACAATTAGAATTGGTTCGAGAGGAGATCCGTGTTTCATCCTTGTTTAATCACCGTAACCTGCTTCCCCTTATTGATCATGCTATCATTTCTGTTAAGGTAGTTATTCGAATCTCTTTGTAATTTACGGTGTAAAAGAAACTATTCTTCAAGATGCATTCTTCTTTCACTAAATAAGTTTTCATGCAATTGTATTTGTCTGAAACAATTTGATTCAATTGGCTAGCCTACACAACAAGGATCATGGAATCACGAAGCATATTTACTATTTCCTGTTCATTTGGATGGAACATTACCGGACAATTCCAAAGCCATGAGTGCTAAAAACGAATTCTTTTCTACCTCGGATGTTCTTCAAATATTTCGGCAGGTTAGTAAAACTATCTTACTTTTGAACCATTTTCTCATACAGATTTAATTGATAACAATGCAGCACTTATTATCAGTGGATCCGATGCATTCTTGTATTTTTGCTTGTTACGTGCCCTTTACAGTGTTTTCTTTTTGGATTCATTAATGTCGTAACTGATTAGAATTGGCTATAAGCATTTTGACTGTCCCTAATTATTTCCACAGCTGTGTGCCGGACTCCAACATATGCACAACCTCGAGCCTCCATATGCACATAACGATGTCAAGCCTGGTAATGTTCTTTTAACTCGCAGAAAAGGGGAATCACCTCTTGCTATATTAATGGATTTTGGGAGTGCTCGTCCTGCAAGGAAGCAAATTCGCTCTCGTTCTGAGGCACTACAGCTTCAGGTGCTTATTTCTCCTCTATTTTTCTCCAGTACTGCAGAGTTTTCTTAGATTCTGTTCTTTGAAACTTCTTTTTCATCTTTGAAAATAACCCAAGCTCTTCGAGTTCCTTAAATCTGTGTGCTTCATGTTCTTCCAACAAACATACACGTATTTAAACATGAATAAAATGATGTATATGTTAAGTACATAATTGGCTTATCTGTACGAAGCGTTTAGTTATCTTCATCATAAAATATGCTAAATTTTTTTCTTGATTTTAATTGCAATAATAATTTACTGCATTGGCTTATGGTTGTCACCTTATATTTCAGCTGAAATTTGAAATAATAGTCGTCTCTGTCTATCACAGCCTAATGCATCTTCTACAATGATCATGGTTGTTTTTGGTTTCCATATATAGGAATGGGCATCTGAGCACTGTGCATCACCTTTTCGAGCTCCTGAGTTGTGGGATTGCCCAAGCCATGCAGATATTGATGAGCGAACTGATATTTGGTCATTGGGTTGCACTTTATATGCGATAATGTAAGAATCAATACTTATAATACAGTTTTTTTCTTCCGTTTAAACCTCTTTTGTTGTTGTACATTCATTTCGTTTGAAGCCTTGTTGGCCGAAATTTTCCTTCTGGCTAAATCTCTGGAGTATATTTTAAGTATTTGGTTTTAAAGTTGCAGGTCTTTGTATTTCTCGTAAGTTGCTTGTTCGTGTTGGTAAAAAGAATGATGAAGTTTTTTCATGATATTTTAATTAAAAAATATCCTTTTTCGAAGTTTCATGTTTTCCTTGCTGATATCTTTGAATAAAACCCAGTTTGTGGTGTCTCATGTATGTGGCTGGCTTGCACTGTTGCTGCTGTGTCAATTTAGTATGATGCTATCCGTAAACAAGATAAATCTGTCATGGGATATATACTTTAATCAGATGCTGTAATTTATCTTCGGATGTGTACTCTGTATCGAACCTTTTTGGCGATTAGCATTTTTTTTCCTACTCATATCATTCATTGTCATTTGTTGCAGGTATGGAGTATCCCCATTTGAGTATGCACTTGGAGAATCTGGAGGAAGCCTGCAACTGGCCATCGTAAATGCACAGATTAAATGGCCAGCCGGACCTAAACCGCTGTATCCCGAAGCTCTTCGACAATTCGTGACTTGGATGCTTCAGCCTCAGGCTACCGTTCGCCCTTGCATAGATGATATCATATATCACGTCGACAAGTTGATCTCGAAGTTTTCACAGTGAGATATCGTATCGGGACTCGGTTGAGGAGGAGAGGGCATTCAACAGGTAACTCAAGATCTGATCATCTTGGTACAAACGTGTGTTTTGAGGTACTTCTGAAGTGAAAGCAGTAGCAGTTATTAGAATGTTACATGGTAGTCCTTTTGCCTACGGTACTCGGATTCGAGGGTGAGTGAGTATCAAGTATAGATATGCATTTCATATCCCGTATCTATATATCCGTATCCATATCCGTATCCGAATACGTAATATACGGGTGTCCGAAAGGTGTAATTTATGGGAAATGAAGAGTCGTAGCTTTTTGGAGTAGTTGTGGTAGTTGTTCTTTTTGTCGTAACTATTAAACTTCATTATTTATAATAATATTTATTTAAAATTATTTTAGATATTAATAATACACCCTATAAACAAATTTACCAAAATTTCAATATTTAAAAGAATAACGCTCTCTTTAATAACTCAATAAATTCACTTATTCACCATCTTTAATATCTACTAATGTTGCCTTTCTGCTTCAACTTATTATTTCCCAAAATGTTTTATAAATAAACCAAAAAGAAAAAGGTCATTTCAAGAGTGAATGCAAGAAGTAAATTTTGGGGAGTTATCTGTCTGATCTGTATCTCTATAATCTTTCCGCAGAACAGAGCAGTCCCCCTACATGGTTTACAGCCAATTCATTAATAAATTTTTGGAGAAAAATTACTTCAGAAACCATTAAATTTTGGCCGCTAATCATTAATGCTACCAAGCTT